CAGTGAAATAAATCACGCAATCCAACTTCTCCCTGGGTGAAAGCAAACGCTGAGCCGCGCACAAAGAGCGCCAGGCACAGCTGTACGCTATTTTCATTGAAAAATGATCTGCCGCTTCATGCCGCCCTCCGCCTCTTCCCACACAAGCTCCAAAGCGCGTCCTTCAACAAAAGCATCCCTTCTTTACGAGCCCGATCCCGCCGGTGCCCGAGCGCTCGGAACCTCCGGTCGGGGCTGGGACGCGGGAGCTGGCTCCCAACTTCCATTCATGGCAACGGCAGCGCCTCTCTTGCCTTGAATGGAAGTGGGACCGCCGGTCTGGCTCCGGGAACCGAAGGGATCTGTGCGGACACCGGCAAAACGCCGGTAAGACCCGTTCCCTCCCGAGCTGTCACCGGCCCGCCGCCTCCCCTGCGCCGTGACAGCGGGGCGGGGGCGCTCCCCGAGGGGGTCCCCGGCTCCTTCCTCGCCCTTCCACGGGCAGGACCCGCGGGTCACACCGACACGCGGGTCACACCGACACGCGGGTCACACCGACACGCGGGGCTGAGCGGGCGCGCATCCCTCCCTCGGCGTTCCTCTCCCGCATCCCCCGGCGCTCGCCACCCTCATCCCCCGGCGCCCCCCGCCCCCGCTCACCAGCTGCCTCCGCAGGAGGAGGATGTTCTCCTCCAGGAACTTCTCCTCCAGGCTGCGCGGCGGCGGCCCCTCTCCCGGCGCGTCCCCGCGGCCGCCCTGCGCCCCGGGCGCCGCTCCCGCCGGCCGCCGCAGCAGGAGGCTCTTCACCAGCAGCTCCTGGCGCTGCCGCAGGTACTCCAGCTCGCCCAGCCCGGCCAGCGTGGCCTCCAGCCGCTCCCGGGTGCGCTGCCTCTCCGCCTCCGCTTCGCCCTTCTCCCTCCAGCGCGCATCGGGCTCCCGCGGTGCCCCGGCGGGTCCCCCTGGTGCCGCTCCCGGTGCCGCTCCCGGTGCCGGCCCCGCCGCCGGCGCGGCGCCCGCGGGGCTCGGCTTCATGTCCGGGGAGGGGGCGGCCGCCGCTGACAGCGCTGCCCGCGGGGGGCCCGGCGCCGCTCAAAGCCCCGCTGCCGCCGCCGCTGCCGCCGGTCGCGAATGGTCCGCGGGGCGCCCGGCTCCCTCCCCGCCTGCCACCGCCCCGCGCCCGCCCACCGCCCGCCTCCAGCCCTCCTGCCCTCCTTCCCTCCCGCCTTCCTCCCCGCCCGGCGGAGGATCCACGCCCGAGATCGCCGTCCTCCTTCTCCTCGTCCTTCTCCTCCTTTTCCTCCTTCTCTCCTGCTCTTCTCACCGCCGTCGTCCGCTCGCCGAGGGAAGGTGGGGTACGCGGGGGTGCAAACCACTGACCTCCCCAGACTCTGACCTCTGGAGCCTTGCACGGCGTATTTGCAGGGCATCCTGGAATCACGATGGAATTGTAATTGTAGAATCACAGAATGATTTGGGTTGGAAGGGACCTTAAAGACCATCCAGTTCCAACCTCCCTGCCACGAACAGGGACACCTTCCACTAGACCATGTTGCTCCAACTCCTGTCCAACCTGGCCTTGAACACTTCCAGGGATGAGGCAGCCACAGCTTCTCTGGGCAACCTGTGCCAGGGCCTCACAACTCTCACAGTCAAGAATTTCTTACTAATATCTGATCTAAACATGCCTTGTGTCAGTCTAAAGCCAAATGCTGCTTTTACAGACTGACACATCTAAAACAGGAGCGTAAATGGTGCATCTGGGGAGAAAAGATCTTGGCATGAAGAGGTGAGGGCATATGGAGAGGGCAGGGAAAGGTGGAAAGCAGAGGAGAACATGGCCATCCTTACACAGGGGTGCTGACCACAGCACAGGTACCGGGATTAAAGCACCGGCGAGGTGTTGCTTCAAAGCCCGTTTGAGTGAAGTAGCCAAAAAAAAGCCACAATGAAGTGAACTTCGTAGCAGCACGTAGACTAATTGCAGCAAGGGATCTGCAATTAGGTTTTCAATGGGCATGTGGTGGAAAGAGGCAGGGGGGTGGAATGCAGATGCCGAAGGGAAAAAAAAAAGAAAAACTCACAGAAAAATGTTAGTATCAAAACAGAGCAAAAATTGAGTTGCAGACGTGTACTGAGGGGGAGAAATGGAAGAGTCAGAAACAGGCATTGAGGGAGCCCTTCACAACAAGGGGTTTGTTTGGGGAGATGTGAGCCCACTGTACAGCAGCTCTCATGGACATTGTGAGCATAATGAAATGCTCTATCCCCTGTTCCTCAGAAGATTATGAGTGTTTGTGACAGGTCTCAGATGAAATTTGTCTCCTCAGTCCTATGTTGTTTTCAGCACACAATATGTAGTGGCATGTCGTACGCCCACCTTACCTGCCGTAGGTGTTGGCCCTTGTCCTGAGAGCCCACAGCTGACAAAGATCCTCACTTCACAGTCTTCTTAAACCAATGTAAAATGCTTTCAATAAAGGAGATCCAGTTCCTCTCGCAGCTTATAACCAGCCCTTGAGCCCTCCCAAATGTAGGTGAGAGCAGATGCTCAGAGGATGGTTGAAGCTGAAGCCAACGCTGTTTCTTTTTCCTTTGGATCTCTTCCCAAAGCTGCTTCACCCCAAGCCATGTCAGCACAGGGCATCTACGGTCATCTTTTAGTTTGGATTGGGAGTGACTTTTTGAAGGGTCTCTCCAGATCATTCCAGCTGTGATTCCCATCACAGAGGGGTCTGAGAACAAACGAACTGAGCTGATTTGGGAGGGAAACAAAAGCAGAAGAAGGGAGCACTCCTAAAGCACTCCAACCACCCATGGATGCTCACTAATGGACATTCAGTCTGTGGGATGAGAATACTGCTAGCCCAAAGTAATGCCCTTGAAATCCATGCAGTGTGGTGCAGGTCCTCAGTGCAGCCCCTAAGGCTTGGTAAATCCACACCTGCTTTGCTCTCCTGGCTCCTGATCTGCCAGCAAAAGGTGGAAGTGTGGCAGCACAGGAATAAGCAGTCAGAGAAGGCAAGGCCACTTCTTTGGGGAGCAATGTCGCTCCTGCCAGATTCAAGAGCCCATGAAATTGGAGCCACAGAGTAAAGGGACAAACACTGAAAGGACAGGGGATGCCCCAAGGGCAAAGGTTTGCCTGAGGCTGCTAAGCAAAACTGGAAATAAAAAATAAGTCCCATACACTGTCTCTCTACTCATTTTATGTATCTGGGCCCATAAAAGGCCCAGAAGTAGGTTCAGCCCCTGCCCCACAACCTTTAGGCCATCCCTGCTGACTTAAAAATCATCTCCATGGCTTTTGCTTCTACGTGGGGCTTGGTTCACATCACCTTGGAGCATGTTTATGCTGAAAGCTGTATTGCAGTGCAGAGTTACTTTCCCAAATGGGTACCAGAAGCTCTCCAGATATGGAAGCAGAGGCTTCCACATTTTCCTTTACCCTTTCTAGCCAGGTTTTGCATCTAGCTCTGTGCCTCGTGTGCATTTGTACACAAAGCTTCATGCAATATTTATGCAAAGCTACTTCAGCTCTTTCTGAGCTGTTGTGCACTGTACAATGTAGGCATTGCTTCAAAAATAAATTACAGCTAAAGAAAATCTCTCTTAATGTTCAGATTTTTTTGTTTTGCCACATATCATATTGGATTTCAGTCCAATTCCTCCCTCCCAAGTCACCTCTTCCACTCTGAGGAGTGTAAGGTGCTGCTTGTCTCCTGGACTCCCTGCTGGCACTCCTGTGTTCATCCTTCACAGTGCATCAGTTCCAGGAAGGAAAAGAAACACAAAAACTGACACAACAGTCAGCTCCCTACCTCATGTGGAGAAGAGAACTCAGCTTCAACTGAACCAGGCTCACTGTGTAGATAGAATCAGCAAAGAGGAAGGGAAGGAGGATCTGATGAAGAGCCAGCCAGGTTTCTCCCCGTAGAGGAAGGAACAAGATACCAGAGAAGCAGTGGGACAGCATGGGAAGAGATGTGTGAGTGAGCAGCCAGCAAGAAATGTCAGTTTATGAGAATAATAGAAGGAAAGAAAAGTGTGACCTAAGACAAAACAAGTGAGGGGAGGGCCACAGAGACTATTTGAGAGCCAGGATGCAGGTCATGGAGACAAGGGGAGGGAGAGCCTGGAAAGGCAGGGTGTGAAGGCAGTAGAAGGAGCAAAGAGAATGACCAAAAAATACAGACCCTTTAATTTACTCAGGAAAACAACAAAATAAAGAGCTCATAAGCAGTGAGAGAAAAAGTCCAGCAATAGGTGGTAGAATATGGATGAAAGACAGAGGCAAAAGAGGACAATAAGGTGAGCAGCTGGAGGAAAGGGTGTCTTTGATAGGTATCATCCTTAAGTAAAACAGGTATTTTAAGCATAGAAAGACCAAGAGACTAAGACTGGTTTCTCCCCTCTCATTCACACCACAGTTGATCATCCCAATGAAAAACCAGTCTGAGACAAGAGGGAGGCCCCAATCCCCATATTAGCTCTGACTGGACAACATTTGGAGACCTCTATCTCAGCAAACCAAACATCTCAAAACTCTTAGCAAGGGCTGAGTAAAAGGACTCTCAGATGAAAAAAGTCTCCAAGTCCAGAACTGTCTTCCACTCCTCTCCTGGCTTATGGCAACAGCTGAAGGACTTGCTTTTAATACTCCTTTGTGAGGTTGCTATTCCTTCACTGGAATTCCTTCATCAGCTGAAATTCTCCCCAAACAAATAATCCCAGATTCCCCATCCTAAACTTGAATCTAGAAACAGCAAGAGGGGATGCAGTGAGTTATCTGCAAGGAAGGAGAAGAGCTGATGACTGAGGAGCTGTGTTGCTAGGATGTTGTGAGAGATGTAATTCTGTCTGGTACAGAGGCGGTTATGAAATGGCTCATCTCTTATGATTATCCCACCTCAGCTCTTATGATTATATTATTAAGTGGCAGAAATGCTGTGTTTCTTCACATTTCACATATAGGGAATGAAGAGATGGTCCCTGCCCCTCTGAGTTTACAAGACAAGAAAGACTAAGTGGCTGCCTCTGGTAATATAAAAAGGAGCTTTGAGAAAGTAGTGGTTGGCATGATGGACAGTGAATCCCAAACACTCAGGCAAGGGGAAAGAGTTTCTGACCCCCATCTCACTATTCGTTTCCTTCCCTCTGGGAGTGAACCCCTGTATCCCAACTCATACATTTGCCTTTCCCTCATCCACCCCTGTTGATCATCCAATTCAGTTTAGATTAAACGAGGCCAACTAACACTTGTTGCTTTTCCAAGGTTCATTTCTGACCTGTCACACTAAAATGAGTGCCATAAATTGCAAGAATTGAGGAACATGACAATTCCCTGCTTGGAAAATGAAAGCAAACCCTTTCCTTGCTCACTGAAACACAGCCCATCGAATACACAGCAACACGTCCACTTTGGGACCATGCTTAAGACCCACAGCTGCCACTACACCTCTGATACTTTATTTTAATCTATTCTAATGTTAATTTCCCGAGCATTTCTTAATTGCATTGGGTAATATAACAGAGTATAAATCTTATCAGCAAATCAGTCTGGCAGCAGCTTGTGTTATCTCATTACCATGGTTACATTATTATTACAAGTGAACCTTGTGCTCATTACTAACCACAAGTAATTCCAGCAAACAAGCTAAACTGAAGCAAAATATCCTGGCTGGTGTTTCCATTTTTTGTCCAACAAAACTAATTTCTCTGGGTGCTAGGTAACAGCAGCATACCTACGATGTAGCCTCAGCCTTCTGCATTTATTTACTTGCATTTGGACAGCACTGAAACATTTCTATGCTGTCAACAAGGTGCAGAGGCCAAATTCTTCAAAAGTGGGATAGGATCTTTCACACAAACTCATGATATTCAGATGACAAGCACTGCCCCAGCCTGTCAAAACATTACCATGTTTGTGGTGCTGCAGCAAAAACTGCAAGTGACTTCCACATTAGGGACCACTGACAGCTTGATTAGGTCCCTCGAGGGACCAGTTTCCCCTTGCTCTAATCTGCTCTGACTGTGGTCTCCCATCAAAACACACAGTTCCACTTGCCCTCCCCCCTCAGTGCCACTGCCCATGTGCCAGGTGAAGGGACAGACACTTCCCTTGGAGTCACTGCGATGATCTGACTCCTCCCACCTCTCCCAGGAAAGGGGAACATGTGCTGGATTCAGGCAGGACAGCGATGCGATCTCCTTCTCTGCTCCAGACTGTTTATTTGGGCATTTCCTACGTTTGGCTGTTCCTCTGCTGCAGGTCATTGTCCCAACAGCTGTGCAGGGACTGTGGTTGGAAAGCAGATCTCTACTCTGGTCTGAGTTTAAAAAAAAAATAACCTCTTCTTTCCTTTTTTTGCTAACCCAGATATTTCAGTGATCCGCTTTCAAGCATGAGCAGTTGCACTGGCACAACTAAGAAGGCAGAGCCGTGCAGGAATGGAGAGATGAGCAGGAAACCCTCCAGCAAAAACCTCCATCCAGAGGGAATGTGGCAGGAAGGATGGACTGTTTGCAAAGCAAGAAGTCACCCAGGAGGCCACAGAAGAGGATGCAGACAACAGCTGCTTGTGGAGAAGCAACATTAGAGCTTCTCCAGACATTCCTGTCACACTACGAGCCATGCAATGACATTCATTTCCTTTTTTTTTAGCAGCAGCAGCCCATCTGTTGTGTCAGGAAGAGGGCTGGTTTTGAATCACCCACTGCTGCCTCAAACACTGTGGTGCTCCCCAAGGCCATGAAAGACCCACTTCTTGCAGAACCTGTGGAGGGCTGGTGAGCCCCGAGCCCAGCGAGGTGTCGTTGTGCTGCTCAGCAATGCCCACTGCCTGTCAGGTGTCAGACTGGCAAAGGCAATGCAAAGCTTACTTCTGGTCCCTAGATTAGGGAAGACCTGTGACAGAATTGGATACAAAGGGTGGGAAGATGGAAAAGGCTCAGGAGCAACTTCATTGCTCTCTTCAACTACCTGGCAGGAGGTTGTAGCCAGGTGGGGGTCGGCCTCATTCTTCCAAGTAACAAGTGACAGGAGCAGAGGAAATGGCCTCAAGTTGCACCAGGGGAGGTTTAGATTGGATATTGGGAGAAATTTCTTCACTGAAAGGGCACTCAGGCATTGGGACAGGCTGCCCAGGACAGGTAACATCCCTGGAAGCGTTCAAAAGTTGTATGGATGTGGCACTTGGTGACATGGTTATTGGTGGCCTTGGCAGTGCTCGGTTAATAGTTGGACTTGATGACCTTAGAGGTCTTTTCCAACCTTAATCATTTTACAATTCTATGAAACCCAGGCAAGATCAGCTCCATTTTAACCTCTGTTTCAAGGATAAGAGAGGGTTTGATAAGGACAACAGGGGGAGGGGGAACATGGAGTTAAACAAACCAGTGTCACTTATGATGTTCACAGCTGACAAGAAGCAGAGCTTGAAGCTACTGCCCTTGTTGTTCACCATAAAGAAACTTTACCAGCATTTTAGCAAATCACCTCATACATCACACCCTAATGCTGACTGACGGGGGCTGCATTCCCTTCACAGGCTCACAGGCACTGCTCAAATGAAGTCAGAGCTGGACTATTCCAAGTGACACTTTCTTTCTCACTTTTTTTTTCCTTCCTCCCCATCACCAAACGGACGATGTCAGTTGAGTTCTGCTGCAATTACTTTCAATTCATCCTTACCAATATCATGTCTGATGTTCTCATATTTTGACTCCTTTTCTTCTCCTCGCCTGGGTTTCATATTTATGTTTTAAAACGCCTGACCTTTGGATACATGGACTTCTACTTAGTTTAATGCCTCCTTGCACCTATGCTGCCAGATTTCATTCAGCACATCAGGCTGGGAACAGCCCTCACCAGCATAGACTTTGCAGAATAATATCTGTTAAACTGTGAAGAATCAGCCACTGGGAGTCAAAGAACAGATGAGATGGACTTAAAATACAGCTTGAGATTCAGACAGTCTGGGAAAAATTTCCAACAGAAGGAACTGGATCAGCCTGAGGAGGAGAAAGCTTCTCATGCCCAACAGCCCCACCCTGGGGCTGAATCATTGCTCCTACCATGCCACACATCCCTAACAGCCCCAGCTCAGTGTTCAACCAGGAGCACAAAGGTCCATGCTCGAAGCAAAGCCCTTCCCAGAAAAAGGATGTAACTTGCAGTACAATCTGCATTCAAACTGCCTGTGACAAAGGCAGAGAGGGCTGCAGTTGTGCTCTTTGCATGGCCTTGGGACCACTCAGCTGAAGCCAGACACGTGATGGGAGCCTGGAGCTGGGCAAAAATACTCATGGGAAGGCTTTCCAAGCAGCCTTCCTGCACATGGTGGGAAGCTGAGCAAGATCAAACTGTGCCTGCAAGACATTTTAGTTCATACAAACCTGACAGCAGCAGCAAGGATTTTTTTTTTCTCCTCCGTAAATTCTACTCTTACAGCCTTTAAACGAGTTCATTCAGTCTCAGCTGATGCTCACTGGGACAAAGGGTCCTGTACATCAGCTGCACTACCAGTGAAAAGTAGCCCTTGAGGATTAATCAGGGGCAACCTGCATGGATCTTGTTTGCACCAAACAGCACAATTCATGAACTGTCTTTTAATTTTCTGTTGTATGTGGGTAAGCTGAGGCGGGCTAAATAACCAAGGTCACAAGGCTTCAGTGGCAGAGGCAGAAGAAGAAGAGATCAGGTGGATTATTCCCTGTCATTTTGGGCTCACTCTTTAAAGCAGATGGTGCGTATAAAAGAGGAAGGTTTAAAAAGACCTTGTGGAAGTATGGAATTATTGGCCTGCAAGGTGCTCCTCAGTACATCCCTTCGCTCTCACCATCTCACTCTCCCATTCTTTGCACTAAAGAACTTCATTTTGCATTTAAGAACTTAGCCTAAAATATTCAGCTCTAACCCCACACATTGTCTCCCTGAAGGTTTTCCATACTCAGAGGGTTAACAGAAGTAACCTCTTTAGTGTACAACAACAACAACAAGGGGTCAAGGAGTCACTGAAAAAAAACCAACAGAAACCTCTTTGCCTGAAATAATTCCTTTTCCACAGTTCTCAGGAGAACAAACACAGATCTCTCGCTGTTGCTTAAGGCACATGCCTGGAGGAAGGAAGGTGTCACTGGCTCCAGGCTTTGCATCAGTGAGTCCCATAAAAGCACACATCTGCAATATTGGATTCAATGATCTCAACGGTCTTTTCCAACCTAAACAATTCTGTGGTTCTGTGAAAGACTGGATCTGAATCCAGGTGCAAACCGACCTGCAAAGGTACCTGAATCTCTGCTGTTTTCATTGTTCCATCCTTTTTTGACTATTGAGCCTCTTATCAATCTTGGCTTAAGAGGGAATAACACTTTTTAATCTTAATGAAAGCTTTATCCTGGAAGAAAGAATTTTCTATCAGCTCAAGCATCTGCAAACCTGCAAGAGAAAAGAATGGCATTTCAATTTCCAGAAATTATTGGCCCAAAACTTTGATCTGATTCTCACAGCTGAGCTATTCATTCAGGACATACTGCATCTCTGTGTTAGCATTTGCTGTATTAGCATCAGATGTGCAGACAGGAGCATTTTTTTAATTTTATTTTTTTGGGGTTTTTTTTTAGAAAAATAGCCTGAAACAACAAGGCAGCACTGGGGAGGTTATTTCAATTCAAAAGATGTTGGCATTGCAAATCAAAGCCTCTCTCATATGGCACTCCCAGCCCTGTCCCAGACTGACCCAGCAGTTTGCCTGCCTGTCCTTCCAGAGCTGAGACAGGACACAGGGACACAGGGGATGGGACACAGGACACAGGGAGAGAGGTGTCTGGTTTGTCCAGAGAAGGCCATTCCAATCCTGTGATTTCAGCTTTGTCTTTGCTTCCAAAGGTAGTTTCTGGTAACCACTTGGTTGCCTCTGCCACAGGCTGACATTGTTGCCCAGAACTGTTCCCACTTTTCAGATGATTACCTCCCAGTGGCTCTCAGATTCCAACTGCTAGTCTCATGCATAATTTATTTCATTTCAAGCCTTTCATCTGTGCATAAGTTTTCCATCTATTCCCATCCTGGCCTCAGACATTCTTTTACCTATAAAGCAGAAAAAGTGACTATTTTTCCCACTTCTTTCTGGAGTCTCATTCTTCTCAAACACTGCTTGCCAGTTCCAGCTCTTGTGTCACCAAAACCCTGTTTCAGTGGATGAGCTTCACATCCATCCTCTTGCTGAAGGCTTTTGGGGACACCTTCTTTCCAGCAGCATCTGTGCTGGCTGAAAAGCTCGCTGCCTGCAGCTATTCTCTGTTCCCTGCTGTTGGTGAGGGATCAGCCAGCTGTGTTCCTGTGATCCCTCCCTCACCCACATCACCCACAGGGAGCCAGCACAGCTCATGCTCACCCACTCCTGGTAACCCAACTGGCTTCAGGGGCTCTCACAGCAAGGAGAAGCTGGTTACAAGCACCAAAAGAGGACATCAGCGGGCCTGCAGTGGGCCTCTTCAGCTGGGCCAGCAAAACAGCATTACACCTCATCGAATCATAGAATCACAAAATGGCTTGGGTTGGAAGGGACCTCAAAAATCATCTCGTTCCAACCCCCCTGCTATGGGCAGGGACACCTTCCACTAGACCAAGTGACACTACAAAGTTGCTGTGGGTTTGTGTTTTTTTTTTAAATTTAAACATTTTGGTTATAACTGCCATTCTGTATTTAAGCCTTTAGCTTCAGACTTGCCTTAAAAACAGACACAGCTCACACAGTAAGTAGATGAAGGAATCCTATGAGAATTTCTAGGTCCAAGCTAGAGAGAAGGTTAACAGTCCCTGCTGGGATTGAAGAGGGTCCTGGAGACAAGCAAGCCCTTGGGAAGCAATCCCGGTGTTACCATGCTGCCTTGGGATCACCAGTGCAAACTGCAGGACTTCTCCATGAGTAGTGCCAGAGCCTGGGTGAACTGTCCATAACTCACCGTGCTGCCTTCATAGCCACCTGATGATCGGGGACAAGTCATGCAGATGGTTTGGAATAGCACTGAGAGCAGATTCAGAGCCTTCAAAGCAGGAATGCAGAGCTCAGCAGTCAAATATCCAGCAGTATCTGGATGCCACTTCTTTTCCAAATCCTTTCAGATGCAGCCTAAGGGGTTAGTATTGACTTTAAAAGCCTCAAGGCCCTGATTCAACAAAAACAGCTAAGCACTTAAAAACATTAAGCACGTGCTCAAGTCTCTTCCTATTCAACAAAGCACTTAAGCACATACTTCACCCCTCTTAGATGGCCCAGACCCAAAACACTGAGTTCTCAGAATTTCTTCAACCTTTATTTAATTTTGGAGGGGGGACAGGAATTTGAACCTTGATCCACGTTTTGCAAAGGGTCCCTATTTGCAAGTGAGTCAGGCTCCAGCTCCAGCACTACACACCCAAGTGCTGGCACATTCCTGTTTTGGATTGGGATCTGAATTTTTCAGCTTGTGCCTCACTCTGATCTGCGCTTGTGTTCATTAAAGAGATGGAACTGCAGGCAGGGAGCTGTTAAACCATATTTTTCTGCAAGCTTTAAGTTGATGATGCTTTCCCCAGCTCCACCTAACTGAGGTGCAAAGCTGAGGCACCACCTCAGGGTACAGAGAGTGGATGCTCAGCCCAGGAGCGTGCAGGATTTGCAAAGCTCCTCCAGTTTGGCTGCTCCTCCAAAAATGCAAAGCCTCTGAGTCCCAGCTCCCAGAACCATGTGAAATCCTCACGTTTGGTTATTGTTAAAATGCCATAGAATATCCACTCAATGGTTGCAGGGGGAAAGTGCAAAGGGAGTGAGCCTGGTGTGCTGTGACCCCTCCTGGGGATGCGGCAGGGGAAAGGGGTGACAGCCAAGAGGGAGATCCTCGACCTTCCTCCAAGCTGTTGTTTCAAGCTTTCAGCAGACTGAGGCAAACATCATCACATTGCCTTGCATACATTTCTAAATGTCACTGCTTCCTCCAACACTTTCTTTTCTTCCTTTTCCCTTCTTTTTTTTTTTTTAATTAGTTTTGATTTGTTTAAAACAAAAGCTGAGATCCTCCAGAGCAAAGCAGCAGGCATCAGGAAAAGTAGCAAACAAATAAATCAAAACAAAAACATCTGGGCCACATGGCCAAATCTGAGCCTGCTTCCCATCTCACACCAGTGCCAGTTGCATCTCAGCTCGTGGAGCATAACTCTTCTCCTCTCTTGCTTTGACAAGGCAGCTCCAGGGCTGCTGGCAGGGCAGAAGGAAGCAAGGAAATAAAAGGCCAGGCTTGTTCCAGGGAGACTGAAAACAAATAGACTGCCAGTTGTCTGGGCGAGCAGGAGAAGTGGTGCTCGGATGTCTGAGGCAGCAGGAGGAGCTGGGAGCTCCTCCATAGGCATTAACAATGGCCTGGAGGGGGAAGAAAATGAATCTGGTTAAAAAGAAAAGGCAGAATCCAAATTGCTGCATCACGGGGCTGCCAGTAAGAGCATCACTGGAGGGTTTATTTATTAAATGGTTGCCAGCAGAACAAGAGGAGGAAGGAGCATCCAAGGGCTATAAGGCTCATAGGAGCTGTCACTTTGAGCAAAAAAAGGCCCAGGGAACCAGCAGGCCTTTCCTTGATGATCATGGCAGCAGGAACACCAGGAAAGTCAGAGCAGCTGGAGGGATCAGTTCCCTCAGGCTTCCCTCCACTGCTGCTGGGGTTCAACAGACATCCAGAGTCCTGGATATCTGTCCATGCTCTTGTTCTTGCCAGGCAGCTAGACCTAAAGGGAGTCTGACACAAAGACTAACAATGAGAGCAGTAATGAGGAGAGGCAGGAATAAAAATTGCCTGGGGGACAATACCTGCCTCAAACCTGCATCGTGAATGTGCTTTCCACTGTACCTGCTCTGAGGGAAAGCATGTGGGCTGCAGACATGGAGCATCCTTCATTCCAGTGGCAGAGGAAGAGTAAATGCCCCATCTGACCAAGAAGGAAGCAGGGATGGGGAGACCTGCCTGAGCTAAGACACAGAGATGAGAGCAGAGCTGGCACATGTACACGGATCTCACCAGTCACCATCTGGTCCTACTGCCACAAAACCAGGCTCCTTCACACCACTGGATGACAGTTAAACAGGGATTACTCCTGGGAAAGAGCAGACTTGGAAAACTGTAATAAAAAAATAAATAAGTAAATCAACAGCTCCTCACAGCCCAGCAGTGCTGGGAGAGCCTGTCACGCTCAGCTGGGATGGGCTCAGCCCAGTGCTGTCAGCTGCATCTCTGTGTTTCAGGTGGTGATGCCAAGGCACCGGTCCAGCAAATGTTTTCCCAGCTTTGCAAATGGATGACATCCTGGTGCAACAAGTTCTCAGAGTTACCCCACTGCATTGCAAGAGACACCAGGCACTGCAGTGATGAGGCAAGAGCTTTATCTCCCATGGACAGGTCCGTGAAGGCACTAACCACAGCATATTTGGAGGACCACAGTGTTGGGAAGGACTGGGTGGCAAGTGTTGGTACAATAACAAGGGTTTGGCTCCTGGGTGTCACTTAGTGCCCCAGAGGCCATTCCCTGTCCTCTCTCAGCCTCTTTGAAGCCAGAGCAAGATAAAAGGAGCAGGCTCCCCAGGGAAGTGATCACAGCACCAAGCCTGCCAGAGTTCAAGAAGTGTTTGGACAACAGTCTCAGGCACACGGTGGGATTCTTGGGTTTGTCCTGTGCAGGGCCAGGACTTGATGATCCTTGTGGGTCCCTTCCAAATCAGGATATTCTATGATTCTATGAAAAGATGGGGAGAGGCTGGACCCAGCCCAAGAGCCACATCCAGACTGTAGGATGCTGGCTGGATTGTGCTGGTCAGCTCAGACCCTCCCCACCTCTCCCCAGATCCCAGGTCATTTCCAGGTGGGTGCACCAACACCCAGTGTGGGGGTAACCCCGGGTTTACCAGAACAGGGGCTTTTGCCAGCACTTCCAGCTTAATGCACAAAACCCAGGTGATCCACACTGGCTTAGCCAAGAAAGAGAGGAAAGCTCCAAAGGCTGTTATCCTCTCTTGCCTTTCCCAAACACCCCCAGCAGCTTTTCCAGGTGACCTTTTAACTAAAGTGATCAAAAAATATTTTTTCTTCTGGAAAAGGCTTATTTTCTATCCCACAACTGCAGAGACCACTGGGAACCTGCGGCCCTTGGAGAGCAGAGGATGGCTGCAGCAGCCACCCCAGGAGATTTATTGGGGCAGCCAGGTCTTGGTTTCCCTGGTCACCCTCCGAGGATTTACAGCCCCGTGCACTGAGAGTGAACAAAGACCTGCTGTTCCTCATCAGAGACCTTATGAATCTGTCCGTGGGGAGGAGGCTTCAAACCTAGATAACCTTTGCAGGGAGAAATGGCCATTCCTGGATGTAACACCAGAGATAGGCAGAAGGGAAAGCATCTGCAGGGCTCTGGGAAATCTCAGAGAACAAAGCTGGGAGGTTGCATTATTTGCAAGGGTGGAGAGGAAGGTTAGTCATGGGGCAGTAGGAGGAGGATAGGAGGTTGGTAGCAGAGTTTGTTCATGCAAATTTGGCTTCTGGGCCAATTTTCTCTTGGATGTGATACAAGTAAAAGCTGCTTCTGCACAGGATTCAAGTTCCAGCTTCTTCTTCTGTCTGCAGAGCACAGGGTGCCTTGAGATCTGCACCAGTAGGTTTTGAGTGGGCTACACAATTTGACATAGAGCTATGAGGCACCTACAGGCATTTTTTGGAGTACCAGGGCTGATAAACTTTCAAAGGGTTCTCTGGAGCCCGTGCACTTTGCCCTTCCATCTGTGCAAGGGCTCTGATCTCCCTGTAACCAGGAGCACTACCAGCAACACTTCTATCAGACTTCACCTCGGAGCTCTGACCTGTGTGGTTTTGCTCTCAGCTTGTCTTAAAAGACTGGCATGAGACTTGCACTCAGCCAATGCTCGATTCTGCTAATGGATCTGACCGTGAATCCCACACAGCTGTTTACTGTACCCTTTTTACTGGAGTCACCAATGAAGGAGGAAGGAAGGTAAACAATCATTACTATGCAGATTTCAAAGAGAGCTGCATCTGGGCCTTCAGTTTCTGCTTTGTTTGGTGACATCTTCACATGACAAAGTGCAGCTTTTTGCCTTAACCCTTAAATTAGCAGGGGAAGTATGAATTTGTTGTGATACTAACTGTCATGTGCATTAAAAACAACAACTACAACAACAACAACAAAAAAGAGACAACCCCCCCAAACAAACAAACAGTAACACCATTCCTTGGGATTGAAGATGCTGCATCTCAGCAAGTGGCTTCCTGGAGGAATATATCCACAAAGGATTAAACTCCCATTTTAATTAGAAGGGAATCTCTGAGACAAGCTTTTCCACAAAGGAAACAAAAAGGCAGCGCTGACACGTCTAATGCATATATTAACACTAAAGACATGGAAATTAATTGGATTTATTACTCGTCACAGCTGCAAAAATGGCTCATTTCTAAGTTTATTTTACAGAGAGTGGCGGGAGGAGTGGGATTTAACAGTCATCTCAGTTAAGCTAATGAGCCAAAACTAATGGTCTCGTCTTGTTTGGAGAGGCCCCAGCTCAGTGGAGCACCTGAGCATGTGTGTGGCTCTCACCATGGTTTCCAAGGGATGCTTGGCATCTGCTGGAGTGTTTGCTGATGAGTGGGACTTGTGCAGATGCTTCTGGTCTGCGAGGGAGAGGAAGCATCTTTCCCAAAGGCAGTCAAGATCGATGGGATGATCACTTGGGATCACCCCATGTTATCATTTCTGTCCAGAACAGAGGAACTGAGTTTCCAGAGGGAAAAAGACAACGAGAAACTCAGTGACATTTTTTTCCCCCGCGTTCGTTTTCTGCTAATTTAACAAGCCCAACCATCTTTCCAAGGGGTCAGATCCACTGCAAAAGAAAGCCATAGTTACCTGGTGATGACTCCAGCAGGTACCACACTGAGACAGGAAGCCAGGAGCCCAGCTGCAGCTCAGTACTGGCACCAATGTCCCTAAATCACAGCCTCTCTCGTGTTTTCTAAGCTGCATCACTTGAAAGGATGCTAAAAAGGTGCCTAAATGAGCTTTCAGAGATCCCTCCTCTCCTGTAGATGAGGAAAAGCAGAAGGTATTCAATGGGAAAAATAACCATGGAAGTGGCAAGATGAGTGTTATTTGCAAAGCACTTATCTCACCCCTGCATGAGAGGATTTGGAGGATTTTGGTAGTTCCCTTCCCGAATTAGAAACCAATTTTCAGAGGCAAAGACAGACTGCCTTGGACAGGGAGGTGTTAGACTAACAACAAAAGGGAAAGGTGCGAAGAGGGAACAAATGGAAACTCATTTAGCACATAATGAAGGTGCTGAGAACAAAATTAGTCAAAGCAAAGAAGGAAGTGGAGAGAAATTCTTTCATCACTTATTCACCAAAGGTAGGTCCTGGCTAATAAACAGGAATATCTGTTGTACCAGCAAAAAATTTGGCCTAACTGGAAAGATGGAAGCCTTGTGGGAAGTTCATTGGAATGTTAAAATCATGGCTTTTAGGAAGGCTGAAGTGGGGATAAGACAGAGACCAATTAGAAATGGGATCATGAGCACCCAGGTCATTGGACTTAGTAGTAAATGAATCTGAAAATTGATGGCTCAATCATGTAAAATAGAAAGTACAAATCAGACCAACCAGTGTCTGCAGTGGAGCACAAAATCAAACCTGAGAACCATCTGAACATCCCCCCGAGCAGCTGCCA